CAGAGCCATGAGCAGCTCGTCCAGGGACATGGAGGTGGGGAGGGGGGCAGCCAGCTCCCTTGGCTGTGCGCATCCTTGGAGGGCATAAGAGGCATGTGCCCCTGGATCTGTGCTTGGGGCAGGGTGGGCTGCTGCTGTGAGCTGGGACCAGGGCTGGGACCAAAGCTGCTCTTCCTGGCGGCAGCTGGGCCGGGCTGTTTGGGGCAGGCATAGCAGCAGTAGTGTTGGGAGGCAGGCTACTGGGCGGGGGGGGTGCAGCCAGTCCAGAATTGCTATAGCCCCCCCAACCCCCAGTGCCACCACCACCCACCTGATGCAGCTCAGCCCAGCCCCCCACCAAGAACAGTCCAGTGCAGCCCCAGCCCACAACAGCAGCCTGCCCTTCCCCAGCCTCACTCCCTCCTCCACCACTGGGCCAGCCCTCCCTGCCCTACGTGCAGATCTGGAGGTACATGCCCCGCCATGCCTTCCTGGGGTGTATGCAGCAGCTGGAGCTTCCCCCAGCTCCCTGCACCCCCCAGATGAGATGCTCGCGGTTCTGTCCTGTCCCACACTCCGCCCCAGCTGTGCAGCACCTGCCCCAATCCCAGCCCCACTCCATCCCTCATCACAGGGGCCTCGATCTGTCCCCCCGCCCTTAAAAACAAGAAAAGAAATATAAAGGGGTACAGGAGCTGAAACTTTGAGAGAGAACGGATACAGTTGTTCAAAAAGGTTGAAAACCCCGGCCTAAAGTATCCCCTTAAAAAGATGATTCTAAAGTATTTGGAGAGTGCCTGTTCAAGAGTTCAGAAGGCTGTCCTGCACTCTAACAGAAAACTAATCAAAGATATCTCTAGAAGCCCCTAACCAAGCTTCTCACCCTCTCCTTTTAGAGAATAAAAGGTTTTGAAGTCATAAAAGGTTTTTGATTAAGTTTGGGTTCAAAACCAGTAACAGCCCATTTTCCTATTATAGAACAATTAGGGCCAAATTCTGAGTATAGCAGAAAATATACTAAGCACTCAACAGAATTCAGCCTGTATATATTTGTTGTTAGCAGAGAACTTTCCGGGCAACAATAACAGATGGAATATATATTCAGTCTCCCACATTAGACTTTTCTTGTATCATAGTTTCTGTTTTCAACGATCATGTAAAGTGCCAGGATAAGAGCCATGGTCCAAATCCTCAGGTGCATGAGGTATATGATAATCACTGCAGAGGCAGATCTTGCTCAGGTCTGGTTTCAGATTACAAAATGAGTTCCCACAGGAACTAAGGACTAACTTTGCCACCTTCCATTCCAAACAGAGGAGCATTTCTTCCAAGTGAATTTCTCCGATATGGTAGTATCACAGAGGATATACAAAAAGCAGCAATAACCCTACCAAAAAAGATTAGACACCACACAGTTCTCCCCACAGGAAAGAATAGGAAAGAATAAGCCACACAACAGATATTACCCATGTATCATTATATATATTCAGATAACGTATTGTTTATTGAAAGAAGTACTAGAAAGTCCACACCATTGCAAGCAAGGGAATTCAATAATTAATATAAAAAGCATCCCCCCATATCCAGATCTTTGAAAATGCACCAAAAGGCTTCTATTTAAAGCTGTTCAGTCTCTGAGATAGTCTGTTGATATGCTGTAGATTTAGGGTTATTTATCTTCTACCACCTCCAAAAGAAACTGTGAATAATGAGACTGAAATTGACTAGCTCAGTAGTTATAAAAAACAGATCCTATATAACCAAGATACTATGGCAATAAATAACTGCCTAGCTTCCTGTCTACAAGAGGTGACAACTTTTTTATTTTACTTTCTGTGCTCTGAAAGATAGCCTAAGTTTTCCTACTGGTTAAATTGCCACAGTTACTCAGATCTATTTTTCAAATATTTCCCTTCATTGGGGGTATCTTCCAAAGTCATTAGTTCAGCTTTGGAAACTGAACCCAGTTCCAATATCAGTTCTAACCCAATTCAGAGGAATTACCCTGAACATCAACGTATTCCAATGCAAAAACTGTTACTATACTCATTTTAAAGAAAGGATTTTATTGGATTGGCTGGCTTGAAGCAGCCACATACAAGTTTTGAGTAGAGTCTAAAGCTTTACTTGCTCCTTTGGAGAATTATGTCTACTGTTTTAAGATAATGAGTCAAAATTTAACATCTTACAAAACCGTTATCTTTCCTGAGCACACACTAACTGCTGAAACTTCCTTAGCCTGACAAAGGGTTTTTGAACACGAAAGCTTGCTTAAAATTTTTTTCCAACTATTTCAGTTGGTCCAATAAAACATATCAGATTCACCCAAAGAACCTTGTCTGCCTTATCTTTCCTATTTTTTTTTCTTTTTGGTTCTGGCAAAGACTTTTTGTTTGCATGAAATGTTGTATATCATTATAAAATAAAGTTTTAAGAAGATTTAGTTTATGTTCGCCAAGCTACTTAATCGTACCGTTATAACAACCTTATGCTTGTAGCATCAGGATGTTGCTGTGGCAATGGACTATAAACCCCTAACAAACATGTACATGTGGGTACAAGCTTAGAGCCTATATTACAGCACTGTGTTGCATATACCCCTGCAAGTCAAGGGAGTCTTAAGAAGAAAAAAAAAAAACAAAATCAGCGTTTAAATTCAGTATCTTTGTCACCTGACTGCTTTTCATTAAGAAAAGATTATAGCGAGCTATTTATCACCGGCTTTTAAGTTACTAGTACTTTTTAAAAACTACACACTTAATAATACAAGGAAAAAAAGAGGGTTTGTATACAGTATAAGCCTTTAACATACAGGTTTTTTTGAGTAAAAGTGTTATGCTGACTCTCTCCCCTCCACAAAAAAACAGAACGAAAAGCCTCAGGACATGAACAAAAGTTAATGATTAGCACCTGTAAGAAAAGTCTATGCAGAAGTTTCAGTATTAATGATGTCCTTTAATCCATGTGAGGTTGGAACTGCCATATATTTGAATGGGATTTTGTTCTAAGAACAGCTGCAGTGCTATGATTGTGTACAACTGCCACATTTATCATTTCACCACAGATGCATAAAAAAAAATAAAACTAAATTATTAAGATCAGCTTGTTTTGCTACTGTGAATATTGAAAGACATCACACACACACACACACACACACACTCTATCAAGTTGTTATACTCACATAACAAAAACCCAAAGAAACAATTACTGCAGGCCTACTTTTATCCAAATACTCACTTGGCAGCAGAGGTAGTTTTACTACATGCATACAGGTAGTTACTCAGTGAATATTTATAAAAGAATTTATAGAATTAAAAGCTAAACACTGGAGTTCAGACAATTTTTTTTGATGCCACTAATTTAATACATACACTCTTGCAATTCAAAGCATGTGTACCATTATAAAGCATGCTGTGTTCCAATTCAGATGTTGTTAAAAAATAAAACACAACAAAGAAATAAAGATCTGATTTGAGTCATAGAATCATAGGGCTGGAAGGGACCCCGAAGGATCTTCGGGTCCAGCTCCCTGCATGAGCAGGAAAGTCATCTGGGCTCAGACGACAGCAGCCAGGTGACCATCCAGTCTTCTCTTGAAGACCTCTAGGGTAAATGATTGTACCACCTCTGGAGGGAGCATGTTCCATAGTCTGTACACCCTAGTTGCAAAGACGTTTTTCCTAATGTTCAGACTGAAACTATCTTTCAGGAGTTTGTGGCCATTGTTTCTTGTTTTCCCCCCAGGGCACCCTGGTGAACAGTTGTTCACCGAGCCCCTAATGTATGCCTCTGATATAACGGTAGAGCCGCAATTAGGTCCCCTCAGCTTTCTTTTCTTCTCTTCTCTCTTTTGATTTTCATATTATGTCATAACAACACGTTTCTGATTTACCTCAACATAAGCAGCATATTATAAAGTACTTTCGTGTATGATAATGTACTTTAAAAGAATAAAAAATATGATATTTGGACTTAGAAATGGAAGGCAGTAACTTTCTAATTCATAGGCTCAAGCCAAAACATATCTAAGGATGCTTATAGACATGTAAAAAAAAAAACCTAAACAAAAAAACCCTCATGCTTTACTTTAAGCTTTGTGCACCCCTGCACTCAGCATGGCACATGTCAAGAAGAGCTGCTACATTAGTTGGACCCAGCTTGCCCAATGTCTGTATAGATCAGGTGCTTCACCAGGGCTTTTTTGGCACTTTTATCTAATAGCTGACTAAATCGGCTATTAGATAAAAGTGCCAAAAAGCTCCACTGAAAAGCCCAATCCATACGAATGTTGGGCAAACTGCATCCAACTAATGCCTGCCTCTTCCGATAAAGCACAGTTTCTGGTTTTTTCTTCCACATCTGTCAGCACCCTACATGACCAAGCAACAAGTCACATCTGGTCCAAACAAACTCAACAGGCCAATGAACACATCAATCTGGTTAGACACTTGTCAAGAATTCAGCCCAACCTTTTTGCATGATTTTCAAGTAAGAAGTTATCAGTGTTGACAATTCCCAGGCTCTCAGACAATAGAATACTTGTTTCCATGGGATTATCATAATGCTCTATTCCTTCTGATATAACGCAGAAAGCCATTTATCCATTTTATATGTTTGCCAAATATGATGATGAACTAAGTCAAACAACTGGAAATATATGTATGGCATCAAACCCAAAGAGATTGCATACAGAGGGTAAATGTGCATTCCACTGCCCAATCCATTCCAGAAAGCATGCATTTTAAACATTTTAAATCAGGAGGCAGCCTAAATGGAAGTAAGTGCAGTAATCGATTTGAAAACTGATGAGACTCATGAAGGCAAATGTATCTTAATTTTGATTCAGTGCACTTTCTTGCCCAAAGACTCAAGTCTTTTTGCACAACTTCTTCATCCAACCTGTGAAAAAAGCTACTTTGTCAATAAGCACAGGTCCCAAAAAGGTATAATAGTTTCTCACTATGTGAAAAAAGTGGAAATGTTAAAACTAAAAGAAGAACCATAATGTTTGTGGATCATACCTTGCTAGGAATCCGAAAATTCTCAATAGGACTGAGGTCATGAACATTCTCCTGAGGACTTCTGAGACCCTTAAGAAGAAAGATAACAAACATCAATTTTGTGCCTTTTACACTTAAACTACTTAAGATCTTACCTAGAGTTGAAAATACATATACAGTAGTTTTAATAAACTAGAGTGACATGGTCCTAATTCTACAAACACTGCAATGGGAGTATTCATATGAATTACTCCCACACAAATACTTTGAAGGAGGGTCAGAGCCCACATCCTGTTGGGTCAAATCTATTAATATCAAAGGATTAGCTTTTTCTTACAATCAATACTTGCATCCTATTGCACCAGCTCATCTACTCCCACAGCTCGATTCAGTATTTAAAAGGCTAGTAAAGTCCAAATAAAATAATGTATTCTATTCCATTAACTTCATGAGCTAATGGCATCAAAAAGCTTTAATCCAAAGTAAGTAATGTCTACTCTGTAGAATAAACCGTCATTTTTATAAAATGGAATAGTTAACTATTTACCTGCTAGGGCTGTTTTTCTTTGATGTTTGTTAGAAGTGAAATAAAAATCAAATGCTCCCAATTTTACTAAAATATGTAATAATTGTGTTTCAAATATTAAAATTTTTTTGAAACAAGAGGACATATCAATAATGTGGAGCCTTAATATAGGATGCATCAGTTACCTAACAAAAAAGTGTATTTATGATTTTAAAAAGTGATGCTGTAGAAAACAGCACCTCCACTTTGCTGTTTATACGGGGTCTTCTCAATCACATTAGTTTAGCTTTCTGAAAATACTGGGTATTACAACTTTCAGGAATACAGAGGCAATACAGATGAAGGAAAACAAGCTACATTGTAAGCTTTAGCCAGCATAACCTCTGCTAAATTCTAAAGAGGCATAGTGAAGACTAACAGCAAGGAACTCTTTAAACTCAGGCCTGACTACAGCTACTACAGGGGCCTCAAGCAAGTGATATGAAGACTAAGTTTCAGGCACACATATGTGCGACTTGTGTCAATCTTGTCCTAGAGAAGGATCCTCAGTCCTTCTCAAAGACAGACTGTTGGTGGCTATGCCTTCTTCATTTATAAAATGGGGATAACACTCACCTTTGGAGACCCTCAAATAAAAGATGCTGAATAAAGGCTAAGTGTTATCAGATAAATATTTATAAGTACTATATTAATCACATTTGAAGATGATGGGTAGTAAATGCAGGAAGACTTCTTTTCTTTGAAAGTCATTTTTCTAATAATATTATAATTAAAAAATGTTTCAGGTCCTACATGCATAAAATTACTTATTTGCTATTTATCTTGATCGTCTCTGATTTTAAGTGCTTTGGACATTCAAACACATCTTTATTCTAAAACTATCATCACCAAACAAAAGCATGTGTATGTCAGTGAATCAAGATACCAGCAACCCTAGGTAACTAATGTTGAGCTATGCTTTCCCCATTTTTCTCCTAAAAATCAGAGGAAGATCTCTTCGTTGAATGGCTGATGAAATTCATGCCATCTCAAAGACTCTTTACATTATTCCAGGTCCCAGAACAAAGAATGTGAATACTTCCCAAATGGTTCAAATCCTATGTTGGATAAGTCACACATTTTATCAGGAATGGAGCTTTAGTGCGTCTGTGTGTGTACATGGCAGGGGAGGTGGGGGAAGAGAACTGAAAATGTGCAGAATGGCTTCATAATCTTTTCAATTTTCTTTTAATTACAACATTGCGTAAGAATGAAGTTGTAGCTGTGATAGTCCAGAAATTATACAAGGCATGCACTGATACCTTCTGTTGGACCAACTATGTATTTGGGATAGTCAGACGAGCTTTTAAATGAAAGACATTCTTCCATAGGTCTCTGAGAAGTGTCTTACATTAGAAGGCTTCTCTAACTTTATCCCAACTACACAGTTGGTTCAATTAAAAAAATCACGCTAAGAAATCCTCTTGCTTAAATTACAAAAGAATCCCTTATGTCAGGGGTTCCCAACCTTTTTATGTTGCAGACCAGCAAGCCATGGACTGGAAGTGACCACAGACCAGCAAACCACAGACCAGCAGTGACTGGCACACTGCAAGCTGGCAGCCAACCCTTTTTTATACTTACTATTAAATATTTTATACTAAGTACCTTAAAAAGTATATTTTTTTATACCTGCGTGGCTGCTGACACAGTGTGCTGGTCACTTCCGGACTTCTGGTCTGGCAATCAACCCTCCTGCACACCAGCAGCCAACCCTTCGCAGCCTGGTACTGGGCCGTGGCTGGGGGTTTGGGAACCCCTGCCTTATGTTACTTTTCAAACGAAAGCATTTTTAATTTAGATCTTCTTGATTGAATATCTCCAGACCCAATTTCCTCATACAAGAGGCAGAGAAGAATCCAGATTTTGGGGGTAAAATGAAAAAAAATGGGAGGTATAAATTCACAAAAAAACTAACATCAGGATATGAATCCTCTCCTCAGCCATAAAAGCTAGGAATTTAAAAGCAGGCAGCACCTGTTCCTCTCCTGCCACTATTGCTCTTTCTAAAATAATTTACATGACTATTCATCATCATTTCTGCTTAAAACCTGGACAATAGCTGTCTGTCAATATCAATCTGCTACTACTAAGTTACGAAGACAATAAAGCAGACACAGAACAATCCAAATGAAGCTGCAACAAGTAATGAGAGAGAACTCCTCCCCAAAGTCACAGATGCTGGGAGGTAAGAGTGAACAGTAAAGGTTTCTCTTTCCCAGCCTAACTCCCATCAGTATGGGATGAGAAAGAGAAACTGTTCCAGCAGGAAGGGATCTTCAGACTGATCAGATGCCAACCAGCCAAAGGAACCATCATGCAAGGCTCAGTAACAACACCCTAGCAGAAGCCCCACCATCCTACCCAATACTAGAAGCTCAGCATGTGACAGAAGTCTGTTTTTTTAATTGGACCATCACTTAAAGAATGTATTGGCATATTACCACTCATTCACCTTTCACATTAAATTCCAATTAGTATCTAGTAGGTGCTTCAAACCCTATCTCCAGTACATCCATCCCTACTTTAAGACATCTAAACAACAAGCCTCAATATCAAACTTAGAAACAAAAATTGGTTATTTCAATTACTGAATTTCCCACCCTTTGATCCTCCACACTTTCCAGTGGAAGCAGGGGGAACAGTTAATTAACTAGAACCCTTAGTGGGAGGTTATGACTTCTAATTGATTTCTGGGCCAATTCTTCTCTCAAAAGTGAGCATGTAAAGTTAGACACAAAAATGTCTGATGTTTAGAGATGCCAAATATGCCAGAATTTCCTGTAATAATGTAATTATTGCAAAAATACAGGGCTTGGAAAGTGTGGACCACAATGTACACTACGCCTGCCTGAACTACAGGCTTGGGCTGGCGGCACAGCTTCCTCACTTACCCACGCCCCGAGCCGCTCTCCACGGCTCGAAGGAGACACTGTCCAAGGAAAGCGCTTGCTCTCGGCCCCTTCCCACGTGCGGAGCAGGGACTCCCACCCGCTTCCGGGCTCCCCCGCGCCCCTCGCCTCGCCCGCGCCCACCTGGCGGGTCATGAGCGACTTGATCTTCTGCATGGCGAAGAGCCCACGACGCCACACAGCTCCCGAAACCCCTGCCCCTCCGCAGACTTCAGCCCGTCAGACACGGGGAAGCCATATTGCGCAGCACGTGACAGGACGCCGTCGGCCCAGTGCATGCTGGGACTTGTAGTCCGCGGCGGGCCCCGTGGCTGGGCCTCTCGGGCCGCGGGAACTACAATCCCCGTCGGCACCTCCCCCACGAGACGCCTCGCCGCCTCTGCCCCGGGGCGGCCGGAACTGGGCTGCTTTGCGCCCGCTCGGCACCGGGGGCGTCGCCGTGCTCCAGCCACGCCCTGCCCCTCTGGAGCTTGATTTTAATTATTCTATGGACAGGCGTGAATTAGCCTGAATTTTTACTGACTGCCTATCAACTTAAAGCCGTGTGGAGGAGCCGGCCCATCCCCGTGCCCGCTTTAGGAGCAGCCTCTCGGCCTCATCCTCCCTTTTTTTGATGAGTTACCTGGAATAGGAGGCAGCTACCGAGTGGGTCCTCGTCCCCCCCTGGATCCCAACTCGCACCTTTGTGCCTGTCTCAGAGTAAAATAGCCAAGTAGGCGAGGGAGCTGCATGAACCCCTTCCCCTGGGACTGGCCCCTCCAGCCTTGGTGTTGCCCTGCTGAGAGGGAAGCCTGAGGCTGAAGGTTTCCCCCAGCCCTGCTCCAGGCATTCTGGACAAAGGACTTTCTGGCCCTGTAGCAGTCAGTAGGGAACAGCACTATTAGCTGGGCTTGGCTAAAACCCACATGCATGCGGGTTAGCCAGCAGTTTGTGACTCTGCGGTAAGGCAAATATTAGCCTCTTTTTAATTTCCTATTTTATCAATTAGTTTAGTCAATAAAGTGCTATGCCACTGTTCCAACCTGAAAAAAAAAATCTCAGTCCTATCATTCAGTGCAGACGAAAGTCTGGACTCTGACTAAAATCATATGAAGGGGCTGTCTGATGAGATGGTTCAATCTAAAAAGCTGGCCAGAATTCAGTAACAACATCTGCTAGCAATTTTCTGCCTAGATCAGGGTCTTCTGACAAGTCATGCACAGAGACAGGTGCAGCAGGTAAGTAAGTTCAGGTGCTGTGAAATTCAATCACAATACAATGCAATTGTGTACAACCACAACAAAAAGACACTTGTATTGTCTTGCATCATGTAAAAAACTGCCTGCAGTGTTTTGAAGTGTGTCTATATACTGTTATTTATATATGTTATCATTTATCTTATGACACTCTTAATCTTATTTCAACAAAATATTTCTTCATAAGTTGTGCTATCATACTCTGACTCCCCACCCACGGCAACACAGTAATAACTACAGAAGAGACTTCGCGTACTGTATTGTGCAATAAGTCAACCGTGCATATAAAACTGACCCTATATTTTAAAGAACGGTTTTAGGAAACAAAACATTAGTCAGCACTTCTGCGACTGCCAACCAAAAATTGGCATTGTGTGCAATTATAACCCAATTATCAGCAATCCAGTTACAGGTCAATCTTATATGCAAATTGTGTGTGATTTTTATGATTCTTTTAGAGGGAAAAGGTAGACTTCATGAGAACACTAGAGAAGTCAGGATATATATGCACCTTATAGACTAAGTCAGCGGTCACCAACCGATGGATCTCAATCCACCGGTAGATCTTGGAGCCTCTTGGAGTCAATCCGAGGCTGGGGTGGGGGGCTGAGTGCCCACGTGCATACACGCACATGTCCCAGCCCAGCAGGTCAGTTGGTAGGGGAGGACAGAGGTAGGGGCTAGATCAAGGCCCCTGTGGTGAGGGACAGTGCCACAGAGCAGGGGTAAGTTGAGTGGAGCCCCCGCTGGGTGGTACTTACCTGCTGGGGAGGCACACCCCCAAATAATTTTTTCTCGATCTGCCGCATCCTTCCCTTACCACAGCCTCACCTGTTGGGCAGGGGAGGGGAGGTGGTGGCAGCACACGGTAGACCTTGCGTTGCTTTTAAATGCCAAAGGTGATGTCCTATTTAAAAAAGGTTGGAGACCATTGGACTAAATAGTCAGAAATGATGCATAAGCTTTTTGAGCCCAAGCTTACTTCATCAGATGCTGTGAAAGGACATACACAGAGCAGTCTATCAGAGAATGGCTTGAATACAAAAGCTAGGGAAGGGAAGAAAGGCAGTAGCAGAAGAGGCAAACAAATAATAAACCTGTAGGTACCCCAAAAGGGATCACAAAAACTAACCCAGGTAATGGGATAAGATTCTGTAGTCCTTGTTTACACCATACTTAACACCAGTGACACAACTAGCCAAGTTGGGGCCTAGAGCAAACCCTGCAGGAAAACAGGAGAAGGCACGTGGGGTTCCTATAGACGTGTAGTGAGGCTGCTCCAACATGCTGTAAATCCATTAATTGATTAATTGAGTCTGTTGGAATGTGGAAATTAACACACTCCAGCAGCCTCCAGCATCACGTGTATCAGCATCCCCGTGCCAGAAGATGGCAGTGAGGCACTTTGAACTAAAGCTCGTTCAATGAGCTTTAGTTCAAAGTATCCCACCACCATTTTTCAGCACAGAGACGCTGCTACACAGGGTACTTGGGTGCTTTTAGGTAGCATGGCTCACTAATTAAAGTTCCCCCCTTCTCCTAGAGCATGTCTATAAATGCCCATGGGTTCCAAGACTAAGGGAAAAGCACATCAATGTAGACAATAGTGGGGCACTGGAAGCAAGTGATGGCACATTTATGACTCCACAATATGTCAGTATATTTATGACAGAGCTTGAAGTCCATTTCCTCCACAGCAGTCCTCTCATCCCCCATGGGAAAGAAGTTCTAGAGAATTTCACTGGGACATTAAAACTTCCACTGCTCCATCAAACTAACTCAAATATTCCACCCAGTAAATTCATTTCCTTGACACCATTTTGAAGGTTTGCAGTGGCCACATTGCCACTACATTGTATCAGAAACCTACCAACCATCACAGCTATCTTCACACCACCAGCTTTCATCCTAAGCACACCACTAGATCCATTGTCTACAACCAGGCTCTACAACCATATCTCCTCTGATCCCACCAACTGACAGGCACACCTTAAAGATCTGGAGCAGAGATTTACACAATTACTATACAATCCCAAAAATATAGCCAATCAAATCAACAAAGTTAGAATCATACCTCACTCTGACCTGCTAAAATACCAATCCCAAGACAAGGACAACAGTATCCCTTTGGTTGTTACTTACAGACCCAGCTTACA